TTTCCCTCCTGTCACTGAAAGGCGATCAGTTCTCTCCTTTTCCAAGGCTTATCCTTCTCCTTGTTTGGACTCATCACCTCCCTTCCAGAATTCTTGCTTCTCCATTACATACCTTTTTTCTCCTTTTAAAAAAATCTCCTTCCCTCTCACTTCTTTCAGCTCTTTTCTTTTAGTTCATAAGCATAGTAAATATCTCCCATCTTTAAGAAAATCTGAATGGTTCTTGCTCTGCTTCCAACAATCCATAGGAATTGATTTTGTTAAAGTCATCAGTGACCTCCGTTTTGCCCAAACCAGTGGAAACTTTCAGACCCTAACTTACTCAGATTTTCTCTGCCTTTGGCAATTACTTATTATTCTTATTTTCCTTCTGAGACACTGCCTTCCTTTGGTTTCTGTGACACCATGGGATTTTTTTCTCCTCTTTCCTATTGTAAAAGTTAGTGTCTCCTAGGACTCTGTCCTAGGTCCTCTTCTTCCTGAATATATATGTGAAAGACCATACCAATCATAACTGATGACTTGAATAACAACCCCTTTTAAACCGACAACTCCTTAACTTACATTTGCATTTCAGGGCCCTCTTAAGCTTTGGGAGGTGCATTTCCAAAGGGCTACTGACCATGTGCATTTAGCTGTCATACCGAGCTCTTATAATCAGCATTCCCCTAGATCAGAGTTTCTCGGCCTCCATACTACTGATCATTCAGGTCAAGTATTTTTTTTTTTTTATTGTTGGGGACTGTCAGATACATTGTAGGATGTTTAGCAGCACCCCAGGCCTCTACCTACTATATGCTATTTGTTGTGACAACCAAAAATATTTCCATGTTGTCAGATGTCCCCTGGGGAACATAGTCACCACCAGTTGAAAATACTGTCCTAAACTAAACTTACCCTCTTTCCTTCCCAGATCTGTTTCTCTTCTTTCCTTTTTTTTTTTTCTTGTCCTTATCGTAGCTATTGATACTGGAACTATGCCATCCTAGACTCTTCTGTCTTAATTCTCTTTTCTTTCTCAGTCATATCAATGTCTAAGTCTTGTTGGCTTTTTAAAAAGTTTATTTATTTGAGGGACAGCCACATGGCATGGTGGTTAAAATGGCTGGATCCTACATGGCTGACTGTACAGTTTGAGTCCCAGACCCAATAACGAAAAACACACCAAGCGTGTGCACATGTGTGCCCAAAATTCCAAAAGGAGAGAATGGAAGAGAAGGAATTGTGGTGTGATCATCCCCTCTGGGAGCGCTTTCTTTCTCTCTCTTTTCCTGCCTCCTCCCTCTGGTGAGCACACATGCCCTATAACAAATTTTTAAAAATAGTTTATTTTTTATTCTTGATTGTGTGTATGCATGCATATGTGTATGTGAGTGTGTGTGTAAGAGAGAGAGAGAGAGAGAGAAGCAACCTTGATGGGGTATCATCATGTTGTGCTCTCCTTTCAGTCCTCCAGCTTGTCAAGATCTGGGGCACACATGCTTGTCATGGAAGTCTTGTCAGATTTACTTTCTAAAAATATTTCTAGAAATATTAGGCATTGGTGCAGTGGGGATATAACTGGACCCACATGGACAAGGTATTGGGTTTGTGTCCCAAGACCTCTCTGAGCACACCAGGTGTACCAGTGATCTGGGTCACCTGAGAATGCAGATGGATTACAGCATGGGGACCCTGTTGTGGGTGCTATCTCTCGTCTTTATCTCTCATAAGAAATAAACTGTGAAAAAAATATGTGGCATATGGCCTAGCCTCATAGCACAGAGGTTAGGCATTGTTCACATGGCCTATCAGGGTTTGAGGGTCCCAGCCCTGGCAGCTTGAATAACACAGGGTACATACATGGGTGTGTACATATCATGCCTATGATCCTGACAGGATGAAGAATGGGAGGAAAATGGATTGTGGTGTGACTGCATGCACCCTCTAGCAAAAAAATAAAGAACTGCATAGAAATATTTTGAATATTCCCACTTCACTGAATTCCCTCTGCTACTACCATTGGTCATTTTAAATTACTCATCTTTTCTTGCCTAGACTACTGCTACAGCCTCTAGTCTCACAGGCTCAAGTACATTCTCCACACAGCAGCCAGAACCATCCTTAAAATGCAGATACCACTCTCCTGTTTCAAATTCTACAGTAGTTGCTAATAGCATTTGGAATGAAGTTTAAATTCCCTACCTTTGTACTTAAGGGTCTTCATGATAAGGTCCCTAGCTAAATCTTCTGCCACATCCTCACATGCTTTCCTCTTTCCATTTGTACTGAATTAGAGGTACCCTGCCACCTATCTCATTCCTGCCTGAGGCTGTCCTCTTTGTTTAGAATGTATTTAGTCTTCTTTGCCTGGCTTCTAGTTCTCTAAGATTCATTTTAGGTATCAGAGCAAGTGGAAAACTCTATCTCACTCCTCTGTGTGATAGAGATTCCTTTTCTCTGTAATGTATATCTCCATTGCCTTTCTCCTGTTGTAGCACTTATAACACCATATTGCATTGTTTGTTGATGCTTCCCACACTAGACCATAAAGGTAGCAGCTGTATATTACTGAACTTTATACTCTAGCAGTTAACACAGATTCGTATACATAGTGAGTGCTCATCAGATGTGGTGTATCCGTACCTCTGCAATATTTGCCCAAGTTTCTAGCCCTTTCAGCATCTGTTGGGGAAATTTCTACCCTCTGTATATATCATATATCCAAATGAATTCTTCCTCCCTGTAACATTTGTGCTTGACCTAAAATCCAATCCAGTAAATACTCAAATACAGGCCAGATGCCCATTGTAATAATACCAGTACCTCACATGTATATAGCTCTGGGTTCTTCCCAGTAAAACGTACTCATTTATTTAATTCCATTTGTTATTTTTTTTTTTCATTTGTTGTTGTTATTTTTCAGTTTGACCGGAGAGAGAGAAAGGGAAAAGGAAAGTGAGAAAGCTAGCCACCAGGCCTGAGATTCGAGCTGCAGTTGACCACATGGAAGTGTCCAGTGCCTTAACTACCATACCACTTCCTGGCCCCAGGATTTATTTATTTATTTATTTTTTTTTTGAGGCAGGGCTTTTGCACTTGGCAGAGAGACAGAAAGCGAGAAACCACCCCCCAGAGGCGGGGATGGCCATGTCACAATCCCTTCTCCATTTGCTTCTCAGGATTTGGGGCAAGCACGCACACATTCCTGGCAAGAATTTCAAGCCTCCAGGACTTGAACTGTGGTTAACCATGTGGGAATTCAATATCTTAACCTCTACGCCACCTGCTGGCCCCTTCTCAGTGTTTTTTATACCTTTGTATCTCTGTCGCTTTCACTTGGCATTTCATTCCATTAAGATGATAGGATAACCTTAGTTTGCCCCCATTTGAAGTTTAACTACCTACTTTTGAGCCTTCAGGCAAAAATGTGAATTTTATAGGAGCTGGCAGCCAGAACACCAAGAGCTAAGACACAGTCTTTATTTCATTTCTTTTAATTTATTTCTTCCATGAGAGAAAGACAGGGAGAAACAGACAGAGACAGAGACAGGCATCCCCAACAAGGCCTTTATATTTCATTCCGCCCCATTTCAGCTGTCCTGTATCACGGGCTGTGTGTGCCCAGAGTACTCAGGAAGGCCCTAGGATGAGAACCAACCCAGGACTTTTCCCATGTGGGTCTAGCTATACCATTACTGTGCTGCTGCCTGGCTCAAAAAGTAGTCTTTAAATGAAATACTGTTTATTTTCTATCAAACAAATAGAAATACATAGCTTTTTTCTTAATGAATTTATTTATTTTTATACATTTAGTCACTGGGTATCATTACAGCATACCAAATGAATTTTCCCATCATGAATATTCTGCCTATCTGTTTCAAATAGTATTAAAGGATTATAAAGAAATGGCTCTTCTCTATCCTCCTACTCCTTACTCTCCAGAAACAAAAGCATTTTTTTAGCTATTTCTTTCATATTTCTTAGTAGTACATTATTCTGACCTATCGTATTTACATACTATACGTCAACTTCCAGTATGACATATAAGAGCTTATTTTCTCTGTGTGTACCCATCCTGTGTCTATACATCCAAATTCCCTCCTCTTCTTTTTTTTTCATTTCATTTTCTTCCATACATTCAATCACATTATTATTTGTCTTACAAAATGGATATTTCAACAGGTGAACATTTCTCCCTAGTACTGTTGATAAAACTATGAAATATCTTCAACAGATAATACCACATTTCTTTGTGCCATTAATGCTTTTCCTCCCTGTCCCTCCCCCAAATGTCCTTCCTCAGACCCTCCTCTTTCACACACACTATATCTGGTATTTACATCTATATAGTGTGTTTCTATATCCTTTAGACAATTAGTTTCAGTCATAGAGTGCAGACACTCGGGAAATTCCCTCCTCTTCTAAGGACACTAGTCAGAATGAATGAAGGCCTGCCTTAACCGCCTCATTTTAGCTTACCTCATTAAAGGCCCTATCTCTAAATACAGTTACATTCCAACGTGCTGGGGATTAAGGCTTTTTTTGTTTTTCAGAGGTTTTTGCTATAGGGCGCATGTGCTCTCCAGATAGAGTCAGAGACAGAAAGCGAGAAATCACCCCCCAGGAGGGATGGCCACGCTGCAATCCCTTCTCCTCCATTCTCTCAAGATCTTGGGCACACACGCACACGTGTCCAGCGTGAGTTTTAAGCCACCGGGTCCGGGACGCGAACTGCAGTCAACTACATGGGAGTCCAGCGACATAGCTATTACGCCAACTGCTGGTCCAAGGCTTTTTAACATAGGAATTTGGATGGTAGATAGAATATAACCCGAAGCAATCACCTAGCATGAGTAATCGGCTGTGGAACTTGTTTGCTTTGCCTTTGTAAAAATACTGTTTTCTTCCTAGTACTATGAGGCATTCCTTCAACAGTCTCTGATGGCGCCCTGCATTCAGTGTCATGAAGGTGGATACTGGCGGGAGTTTACAGTCCGCACCAACAGCCAAGGGCACACAATGGCTATCGTCACTTTTCATCTCCAGGAATTAAGTCAGGTGAGCCTCTCAGGATGATGAGAGGCCATTTTTGTAGTGACTCTATTACTATGCTCCAGTTGGCTTTTGGAAAAGTTAGGGGAAATGGCAAAAACTATACATTTGCAGAATATTTGTGTTGCTTTGAGGGAGGGGTTGGGATGAGGAGAAGATGGCAAGGATTCTGATTAACCATAATGCTGGCATAATCAAACCACTGAGACTGTGGCTGGGTTACCAAGTTAATTATTATGTGAGGACTCCCAGATATCCACAGAAGAACTTTGCCAGTGGTAGTAGGTGCTCTACTGAATCCAGAAGCCAAATTGATAGAGACTAGAATGTTGTGATTTTGTAACCCAAATAATAGTTTTTTTTTTTTAGGTTTTTGGCATAGGGTGTACGTGTATGCCTGCTCACCAGAGAAGAGAGAAGCAGTGAGAGGGAAAGTGAGAAATCACCCTCCATTCTCTTATTGGGATATCTTATTTGCATATGCACTTGGTGTGATTTTCAAGCCGCCAAGTCCACAGTCGGCCATATGAGAATCCAGTGCTTATAACCACTCTGTCACCTGCTGGCCTCAATACTTTACATTTTTTTAGAGAGATTTTCGCTATAGGGCGCGTGCACTCACCAGATAGACAGAGACATAGAGACAGAAAGCGAGAAATCACCCCCCAGGGGGGATGGTCACGCTGCAATCCCTTCTCCTCCATTCTCCTCTCGAGATCTTGGGCACGTACGCACACGCGCCTGGCGTGAGTTCTAAGCCACCGGGTCCGGGACGTGAACCACGGTCGACTATGTGGGAGTCCAGTGACATAGCCATTACGTTAACTGCTGGTTCTCAATACCTTGCATTTTTAATGTGCTTAGAACTTTCATATATTCCCTTTTTAAGACATTCCTGTACTAATGTGATCTTCAAAACAGAAGATGAAGTAGGCAGGAGAAGGAGAGATATTGGCACTCTCATTTCACAGGTAAGCAAATGGAAGCTTAAAAAACCCAAAGTTAAGGAGGCAGTAAATAGCAAAGCTAGCATTTGCACCCAGGCCCTTTGATTCTTGGCTTAGTGGGTTTTTAAAAAACTTGTTATAGATAGGGGCCAGCAGGTAATGTGGTGGTTAAGTAGCTGTGCACGCCGTCATGGCTGACCATGGTTCGAGTCCCGGACTTGGTGACTTGCTTTCTCACTTTCCTTCTCTCTCTTTGGTCAAATTATAAAAATAAATGAATGAATAAAAAAATAATAATTCTTAAAAAAAACTTTTGTTATAGAGCATGTGTGCTCACTAGAGACAGACATGAAAGGGCAGGTAGGGAGTTAATCCCCTGGTGGAGGAGGGAGTGGCCACTCTGCAGTTCCTTCTCTTCTATTCTCCACTTGAGATTTTGGGTAGGCATGCCCACATGCCTGATGTGTTTTTCAAGCTCCTGGGTCTGGGACTCAAACCACATTGCTAGTTATGTGGGATCCCAGCTGCCTTAACCTAGAGGGCCACTTAATGGCCCCCTGGCCTGGTGTTTTTAACTCTGCAGCTCCAACATGTTTTATTGTGATACATCTTTGTTTCAAGCTAATGCATAGATTCTGTAGTGATGTATGATTGTTAACATGACCTGAACTCAGAAAATGGGATTTTTGTTCCTGTACTCATTCTCTTCCCATTCTCCTAGGACTCACATATTCTGAGGTGGTATTTGGTTGGGTGACAGGCACGTGTGAAGTGGAGAAGTTTGAAGGGAGTTGTCTCTTTGTAACAGGTCAAAAACTTAGTTTAGCTCCTTGTTTACAGCAATAACAATAAAAAAAATGCTTTCTTTGGAGAACTATTAGATACTCTAACTAGAGAAAGTACCAATTATATTGTATAGGATTTGTCAAAAGCTAATAAGCAAAGCAGTTTTTCTTCTGAGATGTGAAATTAGCTTGTGTGTATTTTTTTTTTATTTTGTCTTCCAGATTGTCACTTTATGTTGAGTGTTATTTATGATACGATTCAGGGATTCAAGAGATGTGTCTTCTTGTTTGACTCCTACAGGGCTGATTACTGTAGAGCTTGCAGAGAACATTTGTTAAAGATGAATCTTTGCTTGGCTCCTGATTTTGTGGTCTGTGCAGGAGGAGCTCTGTGTTCAGAAGGAGGCTGTAAAGGAATTTTTCATCAAAGGCCCAGGAGCTGTCTGTGACTTGACCTCACTTTACTTCCAGGAAAGGTAAACGGGGGATAGCCAAACAGAAAGTAGGAGACTGATGCCTGGCCATATTCAGAGTTTAGATTGTTGGTGCAGGGCTGAGAGTAGTAGTGGATCTGGGCTAAGTGATCCTGGCCCCCATACACTAACCAGGTCTGGTAACCCAGGCCAGAAAATAAATGAGAGAGTGTCTTTGTGTATTTCCATTCCCTGAGAAGAGAACTTCTATAGAGCTCCCAGGGACATGACAGTCAGGGTGTGTGTCTCCTAGGTGAGATGCTGGGGCCTTCCCTTCTAGCCCACCACTAGAGACAGTATGGCTTGCCATTCCAAGATGCTGTCCTTTTCTATTCTTTGCCAGCATCATGACCCATTGCAGCTATCAGCAGTCCCCCTACCAGCTCCTTTTTGGGGAACCCCACATATTTGAAGATCTCTTGGGCTTGAAGATCCACTTCGCTCCAGATGCTTTTTTTCATTTTAACACTGCTGGTGCAGAGATGCTATATCAGACTGTGGGGAAGCTGAGTTGGAGTGAATTCTAACAGCATCCTCTTTGACATCTACTGTGGAACTGGCAAGTGGCTGCCCAGGGCAGACCCTGTATGCTACTTAGCTCCTAAATTCCACCACCTAGTGCCTGAGGCCCTTGCAGTTTGTGGAGTGGGGTAGTAGTGGAAGTAGTAGTGGTTCAGGCATAACCTTGTTGGTTTAAAACTCTAAAATACCCTCTTCTTATCTTTTACTTCTGCAGGTGTGATTGGCCTCTCTCTGGCTCAGCACACATCCAGGTCCTTGGAATTGAGTTGGTGGAGCAGGCAGTAGAGGATGCCAGGTGGACTGCATGCAGCCTTCGATGGTACACAGTTCACAGTCTGGGGATAAATGAAGAGATGCAACCATTTTCATGTTGTGGAAAGGGTAGCGTGGGAAAGAGCAGCTATCATGTGTCTGGTCTATGGGAGGAGTGGAGGGTCTCCTGGGGTGGTTGAAGCTGGGTCCTTATGGTTTTTCTGGGAAAAGTTCTGAGTTAAAGAACAACTGTTTTTCCACTATTTTCACAACACAGATCACTTCTGTGATCCCAGAATGTGTGTGTGGGTTTCTCCCCACATGACAAGCAAGCAGTCAGTTCTGTAGTGGACACCAGCTGAGTGTGCTCTAATCCAATTTGATTCTGATGCTCTTCTACCTGGAGACAGAGTCAGATACCTTGGATTGAGGGCTCGGTCCCACAAGACTGCCCCTGAATCCACACACAAGTCATAAACCCTGTCTGCTTGACTTTTGACTGATTGGCTACAAGTTGGGCTTCTACAAGCCCTTCCCCTCCTCAAGTATTAATTTGATAGAGCAGTTTACAGAACTCAGGGAAACATAGTCAACAGTTTATTATTAACATTTTAAAGGATATAAATAAATAGCCAGGTGAAGACATATATAGGGTAAGGTCTAGAAGTGTCCCAAGCCCAGAAGTTTTGCCTCTGTGGAGTTGAGGTGTTCACCTTCCTGCAAGCCTTTGTGTCTGTCTGTCTAGAAGCTCTCTGAACCTTGGTCTTTTGAGTTTTTATGGAGACTTTATTGCATACAGATGGGGAAACTGAGCATGGCCTTTCTGTTCAGATTCTTGGCCTTCTCTGCAACGTTTCTTTCTCCTGGGTACAGGGCAGTAACTCTCCGGAACAGGATATTAAAGATGGGGGAGATTAGAATTTCTGTGATCTACCATGGGGTTAGTTTTTATGGCTTGTCTTGAGGAAAAAGGAGAGCAGGAGAATATCAGACTTTCATGTTTATCTCTCTGAAAATGTTCCTAAGCTACTTCAGAAACCAAGGACAAAAGACTAGATACTTGGGAGCCTAGAACTGTGGTCTAAGGCCAGTATACACATTATACAAACATAGACACACAAATACACACGCACGTGTATATATCTCATAATATTTCAAGTTCCAAAATCTACTATTTTTCCTATCCATGAGATGAGCTTGAGGAAAGGAACAAGTCTAACTGATAGGAAGAGAAATGGTAAATTTTGAACAGTATGGAACCTTGGTATTAGGCTCATGAGGTATTAGTAGTGTAATACAATAGGTTTCAAAGCAATGTTTTCAACAACAGAACCTTTTCTCCAAACAAAATCTAATGCCAAACTGCACTGTAGAAATCAGTTGCCTTGTTCCCTCTACCCCACCCCAGACAGCTCTTGAGGCATTGTATGTGGAAACCTTTGATACTGCAGGAAGAGCACTTGAGTACAAGACAAGTCAAGGTTCTCATCTTGGTGTAAGTACTTAGGTGCTGTGTGAGTTGTTAAATTATAAAATACCACAATCTAGTCACTCAAGCTGAAAGGTACACTGAGCAATTCTGAGGAAAAGTACTTTGGGAGAAAATGAAGCAGGTCCAGAAACATTTCTCTTGTTCTTCAGAGGTGTGCTAGGTCCAAGGGAAGGTGACAGAGCCCTGACTCCTGTACATTTCTGTGAAGCTACAGGTTCCCCTGCTGCTGGGCCTGCTTATGTCATGGGACCTCTCTTCTGTAGGCATCACCAACTGTGAATTTCACACTGACTGAGCAGAGACAGTTTCACCACAGCTGCTAAAGTCAAAGGAAGATGAGCAGTTAATTGTTGCAGCGATGAACCCAGCCAGTGCAGGAGTGTGTAAGGATGAGTAGTAGCTAGTTGGGTGTTCCCCTTGGTGTCTGCCAGCTTTGATTCCTCATTCCTACACTGTGCAAAGGGGGCTCCCAATGGACTGACCCTCAGCATGCATCTCTTCTCTTCCTAATCAATCCTAGGTGATGGTAAGTCGGTAGTTAGTAATAACTGGGACCATGATGGATTAATTGTGTAAACAACAAGATGTTTCTATCTTCAGATTGCCAGGTAGTTCAAGCCATTCGAAATTGCAGGGTCATCCACACACTCGTTTTTTGTTTCCTGCAAGCCCCTTGGTGAAGCCTCAAGAAACATCATTGAGTGAGTCTTGATTTCTTTTCTGAATTATTTTTTCTGATTATTAAAATGGTCCTGCTCATTTAAAAAAGGCAGAGAAGTAGCATTTCTTCTTCATCCAGGAACATTCATACATACAGTAAAGTATATAAGCTAGGCAGGCTCCTCACTCTGTTCTTTATCAAATATATATTGAACCCCTTCTCTGTGTCAAATACTGGGAACACAGAGATGAATAATAAGCAGATTTTGCCTCATATCTACCCTCAAAAATATTGTACTCCAGTGAGGAGGATGGTTAAGAAAAACAGTTACATTAAATCTGATAAATGTTGTATAAGAGAAAAACACGTGGACTGTGGGAACAGAGAGGAAGGGATTAAATTTTAATTTAAAAAATTTGTGTATTTGTCAATTTATTTAAGACATGTCTCATTGTCTCATGATCCTCATGTCTCAGCCTCCCAACTGGGATAGAGGTGTATGTTACCACACCCAACACTTTTTCAGACAGAATCTCACTATGTTACCCAGGCCAGCCTTGAGCTCGCCACTCTCCCTGCCTCAGCCTCCCTGGGTCACTGGGATTACACGTGCCTGTCATGGTACCCAGCCTTTCGGTTAGATTAGGACTCAAACCAGGGCATCTTAGCAGCCCATACCACTGTGGCTGGATCAGGAAGGGCTTAAGTTTTAAGCAGTTGTATTCCTATAGGTTCTCCTTTTGTTTCTAAGAGCTAATATTATTATTTGTTTCTACAGGCTGTGCTGTCCTCCAAACTCTGCTAAGAAGCTCCTAGGCGAGCCTTTTTTGCTGAGACAAGTTGTACCTGTGGATTTGTTTCCCCACACCAGACACTGTGAGCTGCTGCTCCTCTTCACTCAATAAGCAGCTTCCTGGAAGCCTGTAGGCCGTTTGTTAAGGCTGAATTTTCAGAAACTTCCAGGTTTGGCATATCGCTACATGGCGGACCCTGGGAACATTGCCGGGGAAAACAATCTTTGGACTGTGAGCAGTTTTACCTTGTTTTCAGGCTCCTTTGCAATCGTGCATGTTTGCCTGGTTTTGGCTTCTCCCTGCTCCTAGGTCCTAGATTTGGGTTATTTCTTCCTTTGCCTATTAATACCTGTCATGTGGCTCCCTTGGTCCTGGTTTGATCTGATCTCTTCCACTGGATTCTGCTTATTATATGGTGACAACTAAGGTTTTTTTGGCAATTGGTAATCATTTCATATTGACTGGGATCTGTGAATTTGCTCAGAAATTTTACATTTTTAGATGGTTTTAAGACTTTTGAGCTCATGATGTAGTCAGGGATTATAGCTAGAAACAAGTCTAGCTTTTTAAAAAGCTATGAAATGATTGTAGCATGGCCAAGTGGTCTCATAGAGATTCATTCCTTTGGGTTTTCTAGGCTTTGAGGCTTCTAGAAAATGCTTTTCGAAAATGTGATATCTCTAGAAGCAGTACTGTAATTAGCTCTCACCCATGGAGGGAGAATTGGTATTTAGAGAGACCCTAAGGAAAAAAGCCATGTTCAGAGACCAGATACCTATAATTGTGCTGTATAGTGTGGAGGCAGAAGGCTCCAGAATCCTGTAATAATCCAATATGTGCTATAATATAGTGGCTATTGAAAACTGATTGTATAGTCAACATTTTCTCATCTATAATTTCTTCAGCTCTGAAGTTCTTGGATTCTTGCCCAACAATTTAGATTATGTTTTGAATCACTTAACAGCCTAAGGACATGTAATTTAGCAGTCTTTGTCTGATTTACAAAATGATATCAAGTCAACTGGTATTTTCAGTTTTTCTCAATTATAAATACTTCTAAAGAAGCCTCCTTCACAGAAAATAAGCTGTTAAAGCTACTGTATAATGTTTTATAGTCTTTGATGAGATGGTTAGTCAGGTCCAGCCACAACAGGAAACATAAGAGAGACTCAGGAGAACAAAGTCTTTTATACTCACAGGTCCTAGAGACAGGAGGCAAGGCATGCCAGAGTGCCACATGGGAGACACGAGGGTGGTTAGAAGGCAGAAGACAGGAACGAGGGGAAGGTTTAGATCACTACTTTTATTGGGGTTTCCTTAGGAAAGAGAAGGTGATGGGGGATCACTATAGGACTGGCTAGTTTGAATAATTCCTATGGGTGCTAAGCTGTAGGAGTGGTTCCTAGTTGTCTGGTACCTGGCCCTCATTTGGTTAAGGCAGAGAAATATTGTTTCCTGGGTGTAGAGGCCAGATAGAGGAGATAAGACTCAGTTTGTATATCAGAGTCATCTTCTGGCTCAGTTCTCGCTGTCTCTAAGAATTGGCCAGCCCTGTGAGGGGCAGTCTCTCCCAGCTTGAGAAGTTTCTTAAGATTTCAGCACAGCACAATGTATAGAAACACAAACATATGATACACAATATACAGAAGTATATATGCAATACATAGTATACTGAAATAGGCAATATTTAGTACAATAAATATTCTTTTAAAAAGACCAGAAGGAAATAATGTAAAATGATAAAAGTGTTGATTTATGGTAGATACGTTTCTTTCATTTCTTTATTTAAAAATTTTATATAACAGGATTATGTTATTTGTATAACTGGAAATTCTGAAATAGGAAGTGTATTTTTCCCTTCGTCCTCCATATTAGTAAATGGCAGTATTATCTACCAGTTACCTAAGCCAGAAACCAGACAGTCTCTTTCTCATTCCTGGATCCATTTGCCTACAAGGTAATCTGCATAGGTTTTTTTTTTTCTAGTTATTCCAACTTAGCATATCTAAGTTTTATGTTTCTCATCTTCCTCCAACCCTGTTCTTCATCCTCTATTTCATTTATTTATTTATTACTATAGGGCATGTGCACTCACCAGAAAGAGAAAGAGACAGAGCGAAGAGGCAAAGTAAGAAATCACCCTCCAGTAGGGTGATTTTCATGCCATAATCCCTTCTCCTCTTGGGATTTTGGGCATATACACACATGCCTGGTGTGATTTTCAAGCCGCTGGGTCCTGGATTAAAACTATGGAGTCATCTATATAGAATTCATCTACCTTAACCTCTGCACCATCTGCTGGCCTTGTATTTCAAATCTTTTTTAAAAATTTTATTATTATTTTTATAATCTTGTTTATATTACATTGAATCACATATTTCTTTACAATGTATTGCATTTCTTTTTCCAGAAGGAATACCATGCATATCAGTCAAGACAAGACATTACTATCCACAGCATCATCATCAAATAGCTTTTCATTGGGGGACCAGCAGTTAGCATAATGGCTATGTTGCTGGACTCCCATGTAGTCTACCGCAGTTCGAGTCCTGGACCTGGTAGCTTAAACTCACGCCGGGCGCATGTGCGTGCGTGCCCACGGTCCCGAGAGGAGAATGGAGGAGAAGGGATTGTGGCATGGCCATCCCCCTGGGGCATGATTTCTCACTTTCTGTCTCTCCGTCTCTCTCTGTCTCTGGCGAGTGCACGCGCCCTTATAGCAAAAACCTCTCTTAAAAAAAAAAGAAAAAAAATAGCTTTTCATCATTTTTTTCCAGATTATTATTATTATTCTCATTATTTTTTAAACATTCAATCACTATATATCATTTTGATTGTAAAATAATTTACCCAACATGAAATACTTCTCAGACCAGTCCAGATGAGAATACTATACATGTTATCGTCAACAGGTAATAAATCATTTCTGTGTCCCACTAATGTCATGCCTCTCTATGTGTTCTCTTGCTATCCTTCTCTAT